AGATCGCAATAACAGATCACGTTTTCCCAATTATTCATGCTATGGTTTCCTCGTGTACAGACTCATTCACATGAGAGCGACGACCCTCCCACACGGTAAGACCTCACGAAAGGGCCCGTATATGGATCCTTTGACGGCGTCGGTGCCTTTTTACTTATCTTAAAGCCGTCACAAGTTCAAGGCTTCGTATTGGCAACACTGTAGCAGCTCAAACTTTAGAAATATAAGTTTTATAGAATTGTAAGTTGTAGTTAACATAGAAATATACGAGTAATTCTAAATTTCGAGTCTTTTAAGTAAAGACTTCGAGTCGGTAGAAAATCCGACTAAAATTATGTTTATACACTGTTAAATGAAGGAATTAAATCTAATTAGACAACTATATAGTATAGTATAGTAATAGTCCGACTAGGTAAGTCCAACTTCGACCGAGAGGTCAATCTATTTAACTCTGTTCGTCAGCATTCGGAATATTACGATACATCTTCACGTCAGGTATACCTCAAAACCTGAAAACTAAATTGAACAACCCGTGCGTGTTGCCAGTGATGACCTACGGATTTGAGACGTGGTCCTTCACTGCTGGCCGTATGAGACTCAAGGTCGCTCAGCGAGCTATGGGGAGGGCTATGCTCGGGGTTTCATCGGGGATGCAGGTGGCTCAGGACTGTGCTTTGTGGCATTTATTGGGGAAGGCTTATGTTCAGCAGTGGACTTGTGAAGGGCTATAATGACGATGATGATGAGACAATTAAGATGACTAATATAAAACTTTTAAGAACATCGCACATTGACTTTTCTACCTGGAAGGCCATCTGGGTAGATACCACTCTCTTACGTGTTTCTACCGCAAATTGCAGTGCTTGCACTGAAGGGTGTAGGATCCAGTATAAATACAGGCTGTGAGGCATTTAATCTTAGTCCTGTCGTGACAGTGCATCTGTAGCCATCTTTGTTTGGAGTTGGCCGCAGGGGTCCGTTGACCTCCAGTTACAGCACTTCTTCAAAAGTGTAACGTATGTGACAGCCATGGTCTGCGGACTCGACATTGCATCCGCCAGTAGAGATATACTCTTAGATCAATTATATAAATTTTACAGAGTAATGAATATACTTTTACAGAGTAAAAAATACACAAATTAAGAAGGAACATAATCCAATAAGATATAAATAAACTAATAATAATGTCCTTCAGACCGAGTTTCGGTCACGGCGAACTGTCTTAACGGTGACTAGCCATCGGCGCAGGACAGGAACATGGTGCCCAAGTGTATGCGCAAGCACAGGTGCACTCTCTATTCCCTCACTCTCGTGGTCCCGTGGGACGGTTACCGGACACCATCGGAGAGAGATCACGGGCAGGACCAACGGCACTTTACTTTGTGGATAACCGTGCTGGTTACATAATGACTAATTTTATTTATAAATTATAAATTATTTATGCGATTGTTTGTTGTCCCGAATAAAATTAAAATACTTCTTTACATGCTTCAAGTAACGGGGGTGAAACACCGCCAACTTTCTGACTCCGGGCTTCGACTGAGAATCATTTCACAGAAAAACCCAACAAACGCGGTACCTCATGATTAACAACCGCCTTTACGATCACAAGACTAACGAGGCATGTACAAACTTACACAAATTAAGAATGACGACATAATCCAATACGTTAAACAGTATTACGAAACTATATACATAAGGGCAACAGAAACATGCGGTGTGGTAGGTCCAAATATTAAAGGCGAGTCACTTTCCCTACAGATGGTCCGCTGTAGGACCCGCTTTCTTAACTGCGAGACGTGTCAGGAATAGCTTAAGCCGCAGTTAGAAATCGGCTCAACGTCTTCTTGTGCAATATGGATTACTGTTATTTCTTTGTCAATTAAACTTTTGAACAATTAGAGATAGACTAGACAAGAAGCGTCTGGAAGCATTTTTACAATATATTTATCGTAATAACTGACTCGAGGATCTCTGATATCAACACGAAATGACTGAAAGGAAATAAGATTAGAAACTGGTTTTTTTTAATGCATCTTGCATGCAGTTAATGAGAAATAGTACTATCCATCCATCCGTCCAATACAGGATCATAGGAGATTTTGCCATAGTTGCCACGCTTGGCGTGTTGCTATTACGAAAATACTGCTGCCCATTTCCTGTTTCAGTTTGTCTCTATCGCCTCTTGTAACACCCCACGGGACGAAGTATTCATCGTACGTCGTAACGATCCGTTTTTAATGCATACAAAGTGCATTTAAAAACAATTTTTATTACAAACTATTCATTCAGGAACAGTACGACTTAAACTGAAAAAAAAATTGAAAACGATTCATAATTAGTTAAACTCATCATCATCATCATCATCATTACAGGTCCACTGCTGAACATAGACCTTCCCCTATAATGCCACAAAGCACGGTCCTAAGCCACCGGCATCCATCGACTTCCTGCATGTCTTACCAGGTCTTCAGTCCATATATACGAGGCTGCCACTCGAGAACCTTTTTCCCAACCGTTGTCGGTTCTTCGAGCTATATAGCCGGTGTATTGCCACTTCAGCTTACTAGTCCGTTGGGCTATGTCAGTCACTCTGGTTCTACTGCGGATATCCTCATTTCTAAGTTTATCACGCAGAGAACCCTGAGCATACCCCTCTCCAAAGCTCGCTGAGTGACCTTGAGCGTCCTCATACGGCCAGCAGTGAAGGACCACGTCTCAGATCCGTAAGTCATCACTGGCAACACGCACCTGTTGTACAATTTAGTTTTACTTGAACTTGTATTTTATTTGTTTGTTTGTATTTTGTTGAACTTGTACAGTTTTAGTTGTACTTGTATTTTGTTTTAAATAAATGGTTTTTATGCACTTCATTTACTGCTAAATGGATCGTAAAATAAAACGAAATGTTTTTAAATGTGGAAAATGTAGAAAAAAAACTAGGCATAAGTCATAATCTGTTTATGGATTCCCAATAGAATACTGAAAACCACTCTATTGGGAATAATAAGCAAAGGTAATACGCCTAATAACCATATTGTAAAAACTTAATCACTACGCCTCAGGAGCTCGTCTTTGTCACGTTTACAAAAAAACTGGTGGCACTTTTGTATTTTAATTATAATCTATTGCGACCTTCGGACTTTATGAGTAATAATAAACACAATGCAAGCACTCGTCTCACATGCAAATTAGTATTAAATTAGTGTTAAAAGTTCTACAATCAACGTTGCCTCGAATTCTCAATGCAGCATTGACAGGGCTGGCAGGTTTTGTCACTGCGAGATGACAAAAAATTTGTTAATCTAAAATAGTATACCTATCTATTTTGATGATGATGGTGAAATGTATCCATCTGTCAACATTACCACTAACACACAGGCCATAAGGAGTAATTACCATAATCGACAAGATTGGTGGGTATAGAATCTGTAGAAGGCTTTTAAAATTTCAACTATTTTCGGTTGTTTCTTAGTCGAATTATTTTTTAATGGGAGAAGAGGCAAATATATATCTCTTTCTTTCTTTCAAACAAGCATACGGCTCACCTGATGGTGAGTGATCACCGTTGCCCAAGACATTTTTGTAAATATATTTAATAAAGTTTAAATTCAAACTTCACAATGTCATAAATTGTGTACTTAATGTAGTAATATGGGCTAGACTCAAATTATGAAGGTAAACTGTGTTTTTTATATAGGATAAGGCTGACTAAGGAGCACACAGTCCATCTAATATCTATCTATTATGGTAAGTGGATGCTGAGGCCTAGGCAAAATCATTCAGCAAGGATGGGAGATATGATAAGGACATTGAACGACGAGTGAATGCAGGAAATAAAGTAAATGGGGCTCTACACTCTATTGTGAAAAGTCAGAATGTGTCAAAAAAGGCACGTATGGCAATTCACAATGCTGTATTAGTCCCTACTTTAACGTATGGTAGTGAAAGTTGGGTGTGGCAGAAGAAGCACGAGAGTAGAATAAATGCAGTAGAAATGCGGTTGCTAAGGAGTAGGCCCAGGGCTGAATCTGAGTGACAGGGTGAGAAACTGTGTGATAAAAGAAGAGTGTGGTTTGCAAGATGATGCGGTAACCAGGATTAAGAAAGGAATGCTTCGGTGGTTTGGTCATGTAGAAAGAATGAATGCGGAAAGACTGACAAAGCAAATATTTGTTGCAGAAGTGAATGGAAGAGTCGGAAAGGGACGTCCTAGGCGGAAGTTTGTCGACCAAATTGGCGATATACTAAAAATGGGCCAAATTAAGAGTACCCTTAACCGACGAGCATGTATGCGTAGGTATAATATGGATGTGGAAGAGGCGAGAAAGGTATGTCAGGATCGTGCTAAATGGAAGTCTGTAGTCTCTGCCTACCCCTCCGGGTGACAGGCGTGAGTGTTTATGTTTATGTAAGAATCAAAATGCAAATACGTTGTTATCCTTGAGAATTAAGATGGAATGCCTCGATTCCAGTAAAACCAGTCTCTGATTCTCTACACGCACCATACAAAACACAGCAGCATTAAGCTGCTATTTTACGCTGGTATTCTGTGAGAGCTTGGTCCTTCCCGCCGATCCGACTAATTCATGCTACAACCATAATATAGCTGCAGCGTGGCTCTACCATGTATAAAACGTGCTCGTTTATCGTTTTTGAATTAAAAAAAATCAAATTAGCGAGAACGGAGAATTGGCTTATCAGAAAGACTGTTTGTTTGGCACTATTTCCTGTTTTAAATGCTCTACTATTTATGACCTACCCAGATTACCTATGGGCACTAAATTATGTACTATAACTATAACTTATTATTTTTAAAGCCTCTGATTCATACAGCCAGGAATGTTTTAAACATACCAAAAACTTCAATTAAATCAAATTAACTGGCAACCCTAAATAGTAAGGCGCCTCATTACCGAACCCATTAGGCTTATGCCACCTATTATCAACGTCGTTACCGCTTAGTCACCAAAGTCTTTTTTACAGAGTGACCGGCCGTCATGGCGTACTATCGCTGTGGCCCCACAGCCATCGGCAGCCGGGCGTCCTGGTCGGTGACGTCACCGGCCGAGCCCAAGATCGAGCGGCCTTTGAGCGGGAACTTCGACAGAATCTTTAACGCCTTTGAGAGGACCAACGCGTTCGAATACGTCCGGAGTACGTTCGAGGGAAGGGAAGAGGAACGGCATGTTGGTCACAGTGATATAGTGGTGAACCGCAAGATGAGCAGCAGTTTCGAGAGGGCGGACTGCGCCCTGGCGGCTCAGACACCCTGCTCTGAAGACGAGGATTTCTACCGCGAGAAGATACTGTACTCGCAGGCGAGACAGTTGTTCCCGCTTCAGGAGGATCTGGCTGATTGGATTAATAAGACCATTGGTGAGTCTAACACCGTTTGTAAACTAAAACGTGTCCAATATCTACTTTAGCTCTGTGGCGGTGCCTTAAGAGAATCTTTCCCCATTTCGTCCCGTGAGTAACTCGTAAGAGGGGGCTACTAAATAGCTAGACCGATTTTGATGAAAAATTTTAGTGTGTTTGGATCCGGTAGATAGCGCTGTTGTCAAAATCCACATATTATCCGTAAAAAGCCGGGGCAGAACGCTAGTTTTCTATAAAGAACATCCAATACATTAATTTCTAAGGATATTTTTAACCGAATGAAAGAAAAGGGGTTCCCAATTCGTCGGAATAGAAGGGGTTTCCTAAAAAGTGGGCCCATATTTAGTTTAGTAGTAGCATTTTGGTAAGATGTCAAAAGCACGGCTCCTGTATGACCTGCGAGCGAATAATTCCTTACCACGGCAACCGGTTTCGATGATTATATACCTTTTAGTTTTTTAACCAAGGTTTTCACTTTATAAAAGTTTAAATAAGGTACGTGAGGATAATATGGTCATCTTAAACTTTGCCGCTCTATAAAACCAAAACTGGAAGAAGAACAAGGACAAAAACACCAAGTCATATACTATAACTAATCTATTTAAAAAAACAGCAAATAAGCTTTGGCAATAATTAGGAAGATCGAAAAATCTACATAAAAAATGAACCACACTTCACCATACTAAAATCAACTAAAATATTTAAGTATAGTGTCTACCGTCAAAATGGCATTCATAAAGCAGCGCCCTTTTGACCCTTTATTATTTGATTGACCGATGTAGAGCTATCGTATTCATCTATATTTATTATTTATATATTAAACCATCTATGAAAACAAAAACCACAGGTTTTTGAGAAACTAGAAAGTGAACATATTAACCGTATGACCATATTACCTTCACGTACTATACTAGTATCATCAATTCAAATTATTTTCTTCTTTTATATATTTTATATAAAACGTTACCCAACGCTTGAAATATCTTCTACACCATGGAAGTGTCACATGGACAAACATCCATACCCAGAAATAATTATTTGTAGAACCGACAATATTTCGCAGTGTACCGGAGGCACAAGTTGCTACCTTACTCGTATGTCGTTCCGAGGGTGTCGTAAGCGACGACATGGGGAAACTAAACCAGAAAATAGGTATTAGCGTTATTCTAATAACAACTACAATTGAATAAAACTACAAAATAAAAAACTACGGTTGCCAACCGCTTGCCAAGCGTGGCAACTACTGCAAACAATATCCTTATGAGCCAAACTGTGAGGAGGGCTGTGTTAGCTGTAGACTTTGCTAGGACGTAAATATATTCATATAATAAAAAAAATACGTGTGGCACTCGGTGACTGCCGCGGTAAAGCTATTGCATGGCATTTTTTATCAACTTATGCAATTATAATTATTTATTTATTTTGTTTATGCAGTTAAGTCTTTGATATTAAATCAAGTTACACTTTTTGAGCGCGGTGACCGATAAGAAAACATTTTTTTTCTCTTATTGAATAAATGAGAAGTTAATATTGTTTAAAATATTTTAATATCTTACAATACATGTAGGTTATTCAGGAATTTTTATCATTGAGTTAGCAGCTAGTGTACACGCACACAACCCCCGTGCCGAAGTCTGCCGAGTGCCGAAATCTGCCGAACTAAAACGACGTTAGACGATGCACGGCTTTCAACGCCACACCTCCGTGCCCGTCGGAGTGGGGAGCGTGAGGTTTTTTTTCGTTACGGAATTTCTGGATTCGGTCCCCGCGCTCAAGGCCCGCGATAGAAGCTATGCAATAGTTTAAAAATGTATCCATCCATACATCCATTACAACCCATTAAAGCTCACGGCTGGTCAATGACCTCCCCATAAATTGCCTCAGGGTGGATTTTGCCATTGGTGCCACACTTGGTGGGCGGCTTGGCAACTCCACTTTTTATTATGTTTAGTTAATACCAGGAAAATTCTGTTGCCCATCTCCTGTTTTTGTTTCCCTTTATCACCTCTCGCGTAAAGAATATAACTTATGAAGTACTAGCTGAACCCGGCAGACATTGTCCTGCCAATTAATATCGCAGCAATTTTTTATATTAGAGCAATGAAATATAATTTATCAATTGCGCGTTTGATTGAAAAAAAAGCAAACAAGATCAAGTATTTTTGTTTATTAATATGAACCTATTTATATATTTATAATTTAACCTTCTCCATTAAAAAATACATTTTTTTTTATATATATATACCAAATTTGTGATGTTATAAATATAAATCAACTGCGCATGTTTGAAAGATCATCACTTGAACGGCTGGACCGATTTTGTTTAAATGAAATAAAATAAATGATTTTTATTCGATACAGATAATTGTATAATACTAATTGAAAGTCATTTTTTTATCTACCACTAGTTCGAAAAAAAACCTCTGTCCTGGCAAGAATCAGCAAGAAACCCAGCGGGACTTTTTTAAACATATTTCAATTTACAATAAATTTGATTTTTTATAGAACCAGCATGGTGGCGATCACCTCATTCCCAGGGGTTATTTTCATTTATGTATTTTTTTATATTATAATAACCCTTTTTGTACAATTTTTCATTAATAAAACATTTAAAATTTTGTATATTTTCTAGGATTTTGTTTGAAAAGCATACGCATCTTTTTCCACATTACCCTCGAAATTAATTACTTTGAAATTGTTTGTTTGGGCCCTAAATGGTCTATATTTACAATTGCACCCGGTAGGTGGCGGTGGTGTTGAGATCTGAAAATCACCCGGGCGAAGCCGGGGCGGATTTCTAGTAATAAGCAAAAAAGTTGCTATTTCTATTTGACAAACACATATATTATATGTCGGATAATATTCATTGATATCCCCTTGTTTCTTTTCATAATCTTCCGACATGTGATTTATCTTTAAGTCAACTACACGAGTGGTCTCTTACTGTCGCGTCGCCATGCCGATCTTAATCTCGCAGACACCGACGACCCGAGGGTCATGCGATCGTACGCCATTGTTGTTAACCCTATTTATTCCACCAGCACGGACAGCACGCACTCATTTCTTGTTTAATACAAGTGATATGTGATAAATTGCAGGCAAGATGATCGCTTTCCTTTTCGCACTTGTTGCTTTCCTTTTTCGCATTGTGAGGGTGAGGTTGGTAACATCGTCTTTATGATTTCTTATATTTATGTACCCATTAAATTAGTTGTTCTTGTTATTTAAATACCTACTTTAAAAAAATGTTATCCCCATTCTGGGATTTTCCCCTATATCGTGATGTCAGTTTAAGTTTACAGCCTATATACGTTCCACTGCTGAGCACAGACTTCCTCTCATGCCCTTTTAGGACTAGGAAATATCATCCACGCTGTCCTAATGCGTGTTAGCGGATTTCATATGACTTCGAAATCTTTGTTCCAAGTAGGATTTGAACCCGCGTCGCTAATAAAACTATTTTAGAAATTTCTTCTTCAGGCTACCTTCAAGGTATTATGGCATCAGGACTCAGTCCCACCGTGACCATAGGTGCTAAAAAGCACCCAAAAGGTCGGAAATTATAAAAGTTAAATTAAACGCGATAAATCAACGAGTGGTGGTGTAAGACCTCTCCCTTACCCCATATCGTCCCGTGGACAGTGTCACAAGAGACGACTGAAGAAAACAAACCAGGAGCATCTTACTGATAAAAACGCAAAATAATAAAAACTGCAGTTGCCAAACCTACTGCCAAGCGTGGCAAACATAACAACATGTCCCCTATGAGCAGTCTATGGGAGAGGCCTACACAGCAGTGGACTTAACGATGAGCGCGATAGAATCCGTAAACTATATAGTTATATTCTGCACAAGTTGTAATAACTTTTTATCGTAGACTCATGTTATAGGTATTTGTACTTTGATGCTTAATCTAGAATAAATACAGATGTCTATGGATCAAAAAATCCACTTAATACCATTATATCAGTATAAATACCATTAAATACCATTATATATATAGTCAGCTATGGAAAAGTCTATGATTTATATTTCATAAAAATATACTTGCCTAAGTATAGCGTAGGAAACGCAGAATGTAAAACGCACGTAGGTATTATGTACCGATCAACCGTTGATTAGCTTACGTAGACATTAAAATGTTTTACCTATTTATTTCTAACCTAGATTAGAACTACAGCTAAGTGTTGAGTTTACATTAAATTGTACATGACGTAGTGCGTCGGCCTACATTTTGCTTAAATGCTCTCAGTAGTGTAACGTCAACAAACGAACTATTTTATTAATTAATAACCTACGCTGGGCCACGATCAAATTACGTGTCGACAAAGTTAGTGTTTTGCGGCCTGTTTTTTAATCAGCCTTTGATAATAATGTTCCAGACCGAATTTTGGTCACCGCGGCAAGTCTCAACAGCGACTAGTCAACTGCGCAGGACAGGATTATAGTGCTCAAGTGTAAGCCTAATCACAAAAGCACTCTCTATTCCCTTACTGTCAAAGTCCGATGGGACGATAATCCGACACGAGCGGAGAGAGATCAGGCCGCTGTGGTTGCTTGTCTCTTTGGTCTAGGCTCGCGGTTTTGTTTTTTTTGCATATAGATTAAGGGTGACAAACGAGCACACAGTTCACCTGCTGGTAAGTGGATGCTGTGGTCCATAAACGTCTACATTTATCCTCGATTGTCGCCGGAGGACTAATATGGAATGCCTCGCTTTCAGTAGAAGTCTTCGGTCCCGCCTGTCGGATATGCCCATCTGACTATGAGAGTAAGGGAATAGAAAGTGCAACATAATCCTGTCCTGCGCAGAGAGTTAGTCTCCAATAAGACTGGCCGTAGTGACCGGTCTTGAGGAAATTCATTATGATATGATAATTTCATCATCCGTTTTTGTAATAAAATATTTGCACAGAAACTGACGTTATCTTAACTCTAACGGTTGAGAATTGAGAGTCGTAGTAGCGAGTTGCTATTTTATATAAAATTGAAGTGGC